CTCTTATCTATTACATACACTCTTTTACAACAGCAACATTCTCTTAACTAACGAAAATTTTCCAATCTCTCAGAGAAGTTATCGTGAAAAAAACAACAACAAAAATGAAGCGTCGCTTTTTGATTTTCGCATGCTAACGCTTCTGAAAAAAGTTCGCACGACTCATACACGTGTACTCTCAAAGAACCAGACATAAATATGTATGTAGTCTGTATGTGTTTTTGTCTGCACGAAATTGCTCGGCTGATGTGCGGAAAAGAACCAAACAATTGCGAAAGTACAGTGGTTTAAAAATTAAAAGGTATGTGTCTACATATGTAATATAAATAAACTGCTGATCGGTCCCAATTTGTTATCGATTATATATATAAATTTTTTCAAGCCTTTACCTTGTAATTTATTTGACTTAAAATGTAAACCAATAAATGTCAAATAGATCTTAATAGAACAATTATAATGATAGGGCCCTTAAATAGATTTAAATTATTAATTATATTTAAATATGGTACAATTAAATAGCAGAAAAAATACAACTGACTTGACTCTACAGTAAAACTAGTTTGAACTTCAATATGTACCTTTGTGTTAAAATTTCGTTCTTTTTTTATATACATCATGGTATAATTAAGAAGGTAAAGTAATTTAGCTTGTCAAATTTCACTCCAAGGAAAGAAGGTTCCCATCTTTGGCAATGAGATATTGGCAAATGAATAATTTTGAAAGAAAATTTCAAACATATGATTGCATGATTTTATCTTCTTAATTCTACCGTGATTATAGCCATGGTAAAACTATGAAGGTAATGTAATATGTTTGAATTTTTTTTCAAAATTGGCCATTTGACAATATCTAGTTGTCAAATTGTTGGTTTTTAAATCCATTGTATACCCACAAATCAGAGATGCGAACAATTGAAAAATGAAGTAAAAATTGACAACGTAAATTACGGAAAATGTAGAGCCGGTTTTTATTTTTTTGAAATAAAGTTACCTTGATTTAATTCTACCACGATTATACCATTAAGTAGCTTATTTGTCACTCTAAAAAGTGTAATTTTTATACCATTTTAATTTATACAATGAAAATTGTAACCACGGCTGCCAACAATATTTCAGGAAAATCGTAAATTTTTTAGAAAAAAAAATCGCCAACGTATAAATTATTAAATTAAATCATTGTTTTGCTCATAATAAAACAAAATTGATTATTTTATCTAAACAAAAAAATATATACTAAAAATGTTGATTTTTTGATATTGCACAAAGCGTATTTATTAAAAAAGACCCGTGTTTTCGAAATGAGTATTTTTTTTTTTTTTGAAATCTTATCTCCGTGTGGTTAGTTTTTCTACTGAACTCTAATTACGTTACAATTTATACACGTTTCATTCCATATTTTAAGTAAGTTATTGCCAATTTTTGTTATTAAAACAAGTTCTTTAATTTTAGGTAATCTTTAGAATTCTCATGTGGGCTTTTAGTTTTGTAAAGGTTTACCTAACTAAAAGCTCGTTCCTCGTTTGCAATAATTTTTTGTACAAATTTTGGATAAAATTGAAAAGGGCAAAAATCCCCATGTATTATTTCGGAATAGGTTTTTTAAATTTATTTAAAATCTTCAAAAATTTCTTTAAAATGTAGAAAGTTGAACTTATAATCAGATTCTGAAGTTAGTTTCTAAAGTAAAAGAAGGGTAGTCTTTAAATATCTAACAAAGAATTATTTCTCTTCTTCATTGCTATTTCAGGATCTATATTCAATTCAATCGATTTTTATGAAGTATAGTTTAATTAAGTTTTTGGTGTCCATAAAGTCAGTTAAATAAATGAAATTATTTAAAATGTGGAAAAAATTTGGTTTGCTCCAGAACTGCAAGAATGTAAAAGTTTTTTCTACGATAATTCCCTTTTATGGCCTTTAAAATATCGTCTTTTTGGAGGCAATTTCAATTTTTAAGTCAAAAAAATCGTCAAAGTGCCGATAAATCGGCAAAAATCGCAGCCCTGATTGTAACCCAAAAGTTCAATAAATTAGAGCAAAATGAAAGAGACATTTTGACTTTTGAATTGCAAATTCTTACGGAAAATTTTCCCCATTAAAAATTATCCAGTAGCATCAGCTGTTCAATAACCAGTTCCAGCTAAAAAATTGGGCATCCCTGGAACACCATTGCCCATGCCTTTATCAATTGTAGATGCAGGAAACGTTTGAAAATGGATGGAAACGGTATATGTTTCTTATTATCCATGCATCTTCCTGTATACTTAAACAAATAAATTGCATGAAAATATTTTAAATAAGATTTGCGCCACAGTTGTTTTGATGGATCAAATGTTTATATTTGTTTACTTTTTGGATTTGGTTTACTTTTGGAAATGTTCAGTAAATTTGCGACCAAAATTAACTAGTCGGTAAGTCCTACACAAATCAACCGTGCTGTCAACTCGAATTTAGAATTTTCATTCAAAATTTTGCGTTTTAATTTTACGCATATTTGTCGGTAATTTAATATATATTTGAGTGGAACAATTTTTATTTTGCTGGGATTGGCCTTCCTTTACACTGCAAGTTTCAGATCATTAAGCTCATCTCAAAGGAATAATTAGCATATAATCTTCACCTTAACAAGGCAAAACATAAAAATTTATTTATATTCCCATAGTTAAATGCCGTGCAAACCACTGTGCCTACATAGCAATTTTCTCGTTCGGCTTATCATATGTTGTTGCATCTCGTCTCATTGTTGACACGACATACGACAATATTTCCTCCTCGGCCTCGTACGACACATCGACAACACACCATACGAATGAGAGAGAGAGCGAGCGAGCGAGAATGAAGGAATGAGAAACTTGCGCCCAGCAAAAACTATGCCCCGTTGCCAACTTTGTGCGCGTTGTTGCGTTGCCATCAATTTTCAAATTATATTTATATTTATTTATATGTATATAAATGCGTTGGCTTCGCTATTTTTTGTATTAGTCTTTCAGATTTCATAGCGAATAGACGTTTCACTTGGAAAGGAAGTTAAAAACCCCTTAAAAACGCCTGTTCCAACTGTGAATTCAATTTCTGGATATTCTTGAGGAGTGCAAAAGAATTTTAAAGAAAAAATAAATTGAATAAACGTGTGAAAAAAGAAAGCCAAATTTGCAAAAAAAATTTGAAATTCCTGTCAAAAGAAACACAAATAAAAAACTGCAAAGAAGAACAAAAAACATTGCAAAAGAAAAGTTTGTCAAATTTGCAAAAAGAAAGAAGTGAAAGAAATATTAAATAACGGTATTTTTTAACAAAAACCGCTACAATTACCCAACATTGAAGAAACACGAAAATAAACAAGTGTTTCTTTATCGAGATAGACTGTGAAAGAACAAAAATTTACGTTAATAGTTTAAATTTAAAAATTTAAACTAACGAAAATTTGCCGAGCACACTTTTGTTGTGACATTTTGGAATTAGCTGGATTTGGAGCCTTACTTTAATTGGACCTACGGTGGGGCAAAAATAAAAGTTAATTCTTTCTACTACAACAAAACATCAGACAGTGCAAAAAAAAAGGACACAGCCACCTACGACGCTAAAAAAGGAAGTATCCTAGGTAGTAAAAACCGAACATCCATCCCTTAAACTAAAGGACTTTGCCGACACAAGCAGTAGCAGCAGCAGCACCAGTACTTGCAAAGAAAGCTTAACACACCAACAGCTTAAAAGTCGCCTGATTTTAAGGTATGTATCATATAGTAGTGTGGCGGCGTTTGTGTGCTTATAATTTTGATGAGGTTGGTGTGGTTGTGACGACGACGTACACATAACCTCTAAACAAGAAATTTATACTTAAAGGAAGAGAACGAAAGGAAAATTTAGGAGTGTTGTAATAAGAAGAGATGTTATCGCTCATTTGTGTCTGTGTTTCTGGTTTCTGTGGTTACCAATGAAAAGTGGAAAAAAATGTTGAATGTCCAAAAAAAGATTATAGAAATGTCCTTTACTGGAAAGTTTTTCAAATTGTGATGTAGATTTTATTAAAATATGAAAGAGGGATCAAAACAGAGTCCAAAAAAGAGAATTTGTGTCAAAAATTTTAAAAGATTTTTTAAAGGGTTTTCTATAGGAGGAGTGACATTTCCTTGGGGAGTATTTCTTTTCCCCCGGGCGTGTCATGTCAAGGCATGTTAATAGACCCCTAATGAATTTGTAGCTATATATTCAAGCATTGGATTACTATCCTTTAGGGACAAATATGGAGTCCAGTTATCCAATATATTGCTGGAGGAAGTTGGTAAACAAACTCTGAAAGTTACGATCTAAAAATGATTTATTTGAAATTGAATTCAAATTATCTGCTGGATTGTTGCAATATTTCGAGATTTTGTGCAATATTAGAAAACGGACATCATCCCGCTTCAGGCATTGTTCAACACTACTAATAAAAGACATTTTGGTAAATATTTACTTTTATTTTTCTTTAAGTTGTAAAATTGTTAACCATTTCTAATATTGCAGAATATCGAGATTCATTAAAGCCTTTTGCAAAGATTTGGACAGGAGTGTTAGAGTTCCTAACTCAACTTAAAATTTATTCCAAACAAAAAATCAGAAAATTTATAAATTAGAGAAGTAAAACTCAAAAGAAAATTTGCTCAGGAACCTCTTAGTGATATAAAGCCCTATATAATCCAATAAGTTTTCAAAAGGCAAAAAAGGGAGGTACCATTATATGGGCGCTATACCAAAACGTGGACCTACATCACTCATTTTCAATACCAAAAGTCCTGCAGACATAATACAAATTTGAGTAAAATTTTATCAACCCACTTCATTTCCTTCGTAAGCTAGATTGATTTCCACAGACGGACGGACATCGCTAAATCGATATAGAATTTTATGCTGATCAAGACCCTCCATACTATGCTGGAGAGTATAATAAGCCTGGAAATAGTTATCCTCCAATAAAGCTAAAAAATTCAGCTAGGGATTTTTTAAATAAGTATGTACCAATTAACCATAATACGACACATGCTGTTTAATTTTAAAATAGGTTTAGTCCTTTACATGTTTAGATGCATTTGTGGGCTTTTGGATGCGATTCCGTTAAAGGCCCATAATGTATTGTATGGTTTATATAAATCACCGACCGAATTCGATTATCCTCGTATAGTGGTTATTTTCTCACGTTTTATCCAAAATATACCCACCAAGAAAGGCTTCTCCTTCTTTATACTTAATAATTTCATGACTGCAAATCTAAACCAAAAAAATTCTCAATTTTATTAGCATGCATTTTATGACTACTTCCCTACCTTCAGTTCTACATATGTACGTATGCATACGGCATATGTATGCTTGCTTTTGTTGTCATTCATTACACATACAAAACTGACATTTGTATAATTTTGTTCTGGAAAATGTACGAAGACCAGATAATTGAATTCATTTTGAATTCATTCCTTACAAATTGCAGATTTCTTATTTACGTATTCAAACGTAAAGGTAATTTTTTACGTAAAACGACGACGACGACAAAACAACAAAAAGACAGCAAAACATTATTTGAAGTAAAAAAGAAAGTGCCATTGATTACAAATTATACAATTAATTCAATTAAAATAATTATAATATAATATATACAAAAAAATATTGAAATGCGTAACAAAAAAAATATATATGGACAGGTATTTGTGTCGGGGAAAATTAAAAATTATTATTGTGGTTTATTTAAATATTTCATCTTTTTCTAAACATTTTTAAAATTTGATATTTTACATTTTTAAAATATTTTTTATATAATTTTAAAATTTGTGTGTTTCCACAATTTAAAAATATTATATTTTTGTTTCATTTTAAAATAAATTTGAAAATATTTAAAATTAATGTTTTTAATGTTTACAAATGTTTGATATTTTTTTTTAATAATTTTTCTTTTTTTTAATTCAATTTTTCCTACTTAAATTATAAAAATACCTCTTTGTACATTTTTTAAAATTTAATTTTGTTATAATTTTACTATTTTTTCTTAAATAATTCGTCTTTATTTAAAATGAAACTGGTAATTTTTTGTTTTGAATATTATTCTGGTTAAGTTAAATACTTAATTTTTTTCTAAACTTTTTTAAAATTAAATTTTTTGCATTTTTATACCCTCCACCATAGTAGGGTGGGTATATTGAGGTTCTCATTCCGTTTGTAACACCTAACATTTTAGACCCCACAAAGTACATATGTTCTTGATCAGCCTACTTGTTAAAACTCATTTTTTGGCATTTTTAAAATCTATTTTTTATATAATTTCAAAATTGTATTTTTCCATAATTAAAAATTATAATTTTAAAATAATTAAGAAAATTTGAAAAAAAATTAAATTATGTTTTAAATATTTTTAAATTTTTAATATATTTTTTAAACCGATTTTTTATTGTTAAATTCAAAATTTCCTTTGAAAATTATAAAAATACCTCTTTGTACTTTTTCAAAATATTAATTTGTTATAATTTTATTTTTTTTTTAATGTTATTTTTTTTTGTTTTGAGCCTGTCCTTCATATTCTACAACGTTACTATTGAAAACTTGTTATTACCTTTTTTATATCTTTCAAATATTGAAATATTTTCAACGTTAAATTTTTTTAATTTTTGAATATTTTTTTTTGAATTTTTTACAATTCTGTTATTAATTTGAAATTTATTAAAATTTTGAATTTAATTTCTTATGCTTTAATCGAACATAATTTTGCTAATTTTCATTTTTTTTCGATTTTGCTTAAATATTATTTTTAATGTTCCATATTTTACACTTGAGAATAGAGCTTGAGATCATTATTATGCTGCATATGCTATATAAAAGAAATATCCCCATTACAAAATAAATGGGTCAGGATATTAGTCTTTTTTTAAATGCCAACAAACCATTGACTAACTAAACAAACTACTTGGACAATTAAAGGTTTCATTTTTTGTAAGATTTCTTTTCATTTTTTTATTGTCATATATCTATAGAAGAGAAAGCAATACCAAAAAGCCAAGTTAATTAAAATCATATATTGGTTGATGTGTTGATGAGGATGATGATGATGGGGTGATAGATACCCTACAACTTAACACATGTCATCCAATTCAGCCAAACCATATGCAGCAGCAGTCATGGCTAACAACTAACCCATATAGCCTGGCACTTCAAAGCAATATGTCGTCTTCCAGCAACTCACACCAATAATAGTTTTTTTTTTATTTTGCCACTTTTTACCCCATTGCTACATTTTCGTTTTGGTGGCGTGATGTGTCTACAAGAGAAAGAAAAAAAAAAAAGAAAACAAAAAATACAGTTGTTAACAAAAAAAGGCAAAAGACAAAACAAAACTATAAATGCAAAGCAAACGCCAACAAAATATTATTGTTGTGGATGATAATGATTTTTACAAAAATTTATTTCGTAAAAATCCAATCTAAACACTCGAAAAAAATAAACCAAAAGAGAAAAAGCCAATGAACTTTTATAAGCTTTGCTTTGTTGGTAGGTCGGGTTTGCTAAATCGACTGCGAAACAGAGCAGCATAAGCAGATGTGAAACTAAATTACCATAAAAAGAAATTATTATTATTAAAAAAAAAACAAGAAAATGAAAATAATGATATTAGGTGTTTCAAATTAGTTGATGGGGTTATTTGAAATTGCGAGGAGGAGAAAGAGGAAGAATAACAAATTTTGCAGACATAAAAATCGAGGATTTAGTGATTCGCATATTTTCAAAGGGTCTGGAGTGTTTTTGGCTCTCTCAATGAAAAGTGGGATCGAAATCCCATGGGCTCTGGGAATTTTTGCTAATTGCAAAATATTTGAAATTATTTAACGATTTTTTTAACATTTTACGTTTTAAAATTATTTGAATGACTATAATTCCTGTTAATAATAATAGTACTCATAATGAAAAAGATAATAACAATAGGTTTGATAATAATAAGAATTATAATAAAATAGAGAAATTTAATTGAGCCTTTACACCCTTTGTTTATGACTCGCTAAAGACTTACTCTCTCTTTCTCTGTTGCAATTATTTCATTCTTAAGTCTCAGATATTCACACCAAATAATCAGATTTGGATAGACATTTAGTTATTGCTACTTAATAATCCTTTGTATATTTGGATATTGAAATTATATTTACCTCGTTTGGAAGACCCAAAGTGGCTTCGACTTATGTTGTATGAATTTAGGAGGCATTCGATTTGTCATTTCCTTACGTTTGCGACAAAAGAAAATAAAGAGAATCACCACCACCCTTCTATGTCATTACTCATACAAGCCAGACAGGCGACGCAGGTGGGTGGCAAAGACGTGCCACTTCCCTATCCGAAATCAATAAAAATAAAAATGCCAACAATCAATCTTATCAGTTTTACAATCAATTAGTTTTGTAAAAGGTATTTTAGTCATAAAAAAGAATCGATATTTATACCCTCGCCATATGGCTAGAGAGGGTATATAACGGTTTTAGACCCTAGGTCTCTTTGGACCAAATCCGTTTTAGGACATTTGGAGTCGATCTACAAATGTCCGTCCGTCCGTCTGTCTGTCTGGCTGACTGTTGCGCACGATAACTCTCGAAGGGAGTATCGGATTTGATCTAAACTTGGTACATCGTAATATTATTGTCAAACTTAGAGTTCGGAGATGGACCATGTCGGTCCACTCCTTCTGTTACCTCCCACACAAAATGTCAACCTTTTCAAAGAAAATAATTTACTGCACAGAGAGTGAAAGGATAATTCGATTTTGCTTCAACTTTGCAAACCCTAATATTTGCATCAGTGCTAGGACAGGTGCAAAAATTAGTTGTTATTTTTACTTAATCAATAAGAAACTGCAAACTTTCAGCTGTCAAAATGGCTCTTCCAATTCACTCTCATTTTATCGATTTTCAAGTTATCGGACATCTAATAGCAGTTCGAAGACGTTTTATAAATTATCAGGGTTTTCATTTTATTCATTAATCTTTTACCCATTAACCCAGTTTCGTTCCACATGCCTACAATTTTCTGGGTCTCCACCCCAGACTTACAAATTACAATTTTTCCCGTTCGATTATTATCATCCAATATTATTATCCCATTAAATAACAATTCACTTTACTACGTTTTTAGAAATAATATCCATACCTAACCTGCGTTTAGCTTAATTTATATACCTACCTATTCTATTTCTACTCATATCAAATCGAATGATAACTATTAAACAAAATATATGTACTAGGTGTGTAGGTATCTCCCCATATGCGATAGTAGTAGGTAACAATATTAAATTAATAAACCACTTGCACAAAACTTGATAAGGCAACGACTACTCATTATTTCGGAAGTTATTTCGAATGTCAATAGAATTCTGAAATCTATTGATAGACTCAGAGAAATGACTGATAAGAAGCATTGCTAGAAGTGCCATATGCCAATGCAGCCATCCAGCCATCTATTATCATTTGCTGCGATATTTATGGCCAAAAAAATGTATGGCACGAGCGTGATGATTTCTTGTTAAACTTGGACATAGAAACAACACACATATTTTTTTGTATACAAGCAAAACCGGCAGTAGCTAGCTTGATCGATCATACGATACGATCAGCAGGCAGGCATGCAGGCGACACAGACCAACTCGGCAAGCAATCTCTTTTTTCTTCGCTCTCTCTGTTATTTGCTAATTTTGTTGTTGTGTGTGAACAGTAAACTCATATTCACATCAATTCTTATGGGAATTCCTCTATGTATGTTTTGTTTACATCGGAGAAAAAGAGAGCATGGATTCCGCGTCATCATATAAAAAATAGAGAGAAGGCAAACTAGAGAGTAGTATTTGCGGTTTTATTGGCTGTTTGGTAAAAAAAAAATATCGTACGATGTTTGATGTCTCATCAGGTGATGACAACAACAATAAAACAAACATCCATTCATAATTCAACATGTGTGAATATTTATGGGGGAGTGTAGACTCGGTGATTACAGTGATGCCAACTGGCTTTACCAATCAGAACGGCCAATTGGAACACAATGCAAAGAATTTGCGATTGTAATTGAAGTTATAAAAATTGAGTTTTTTTTATTGATCATCCTTAAGGTGTTTTATTTATTGGCTTTACCAAGAAGAACGACAATTTGATTATGAAAATGTTGAGATAAAATGCGAAGAAGTCACATTATTAAATGAATGGAAGATTTGGAAAAATTGAAATAAAAACGGTTATTATTCAAAACGACTGCTGATTATTATTATAAAATCGTGTTTCTTTAAAGAAAAAATGTAATGTAAAAAATGAGCACGCTTTTTTGACATAAAAAGTAAAAAAAAAACTTAACATCACATAAGCTTTGTAGAAGAGGAGGTGAAGTAAATGGCCTTTCTCATACTCAATTCATATTAGTGACACTCAGTTTCCCTTTCATTAACATTTTTAGCCAATTTTGTACAAGTTCATCCGTATGTCTTAGTTGGCGTTTTTGAATTTGTTATTATCAAGATATTATAAATAATTTGGTGTGAAAATACTTTGTTGTGATTTGAAATCAAAGCGGGGGGAAATAAGAATATTTAGATGGGTATTGCAAGTTTAATAAACAAATTCTTCAAATGTCAAAAATTTCAACATATTAATATTAATTGATAATATTGGTGACATTGAAACTGAATCAG